CTGTGTGTCTCTGTCTCTCTCTCTCTGTCTCTCTCTCTCTCTGTCTCTCTCTCTCTCTCTCTGTGTCTCTCTGTCTCTGTCTCTCTCTCTCTGTGTGTCTCTGTCTCTCTCTCTCTGTCTCTCTCTCTCTCTCTGTCTCTCTCTCTGTGTCTTTGTCTCTCTCTCTCTCTCTCTGTGTGTGTCTCTCTCTGTCTCTCTCTCTCTCTGTCTCTCTCTCTCTCTCTCTCTCTGTGTCTCTCTGTCTCTCTCTGTGTGTCTCTCTGTCTCTCTCTGTCTCTGTCTCTCTCTCACTGTGTCTCTCTGTCTCTCTGTCTCTCTCTGTGTCTCTCTGTCTCTCTCTCTGTCTCTCTCTCTCTGTCTCTCTCTCTCTCTCTGTCTCTCTCTCTGTGTCTTTGTCTCTCTCTCTCTCTCTCTGTGTGTGTCTCTCTCTGTCTCTCTCTCTCTCTGTCTCTCTCTCTCTCTCTCTCTCTGTGTCTCTCTGTCTCTCTCTGTGTGTCTCTCTGTCTCTCTCTGTCTCTGTCTCTCTCTCACTGTGTCTCTCTGTCTCTCTGTCTCTCTCTGTGTCTCTCTGTCTCTCTCTGTGTGTCTCTCTGTCTCTCTCTGTCTCTGTCTCTCTCTCACTGTGTCTCTCTGTCTCTCTGTCTCTCTCTGTGTCTCTCTCTCTCTCTCTCTGTCTCTCTCTCTCTGTCTCTCTCTCTCTTTGTGTGTTTGTGTTTGTATGTATGTGTGTGTGTGTGTGTTGAGGGTAGCAAGCAAGATCCAAGAAATGGAAATAATGATCTGCACAGATAAAGAACTGGGGGGTGGGTGGGAGAGATATTGGATTTCTGGGAATCTTGGGATCTTGCATCAAAAACAAGTGTCTTCACATCTGCAGGTCCACAGCTGGATTTGCAAGTTGGGGTGTGTTTCATGTGTTTGCAGCCAGCTGGAGCTGGGGAATGAATCTTCTGCAGAGGGTCCTTGTCCAACCTGGGGGCCTCCGGTGTGCTGCCTGAGGCATGGTGGGAATTTGTAGTCCAGCAAGATTGGAAGGCTCCAGGTGGGAAAAGGTTGGGATTTCTGTGTCCCAAGGAGGCACCTTGGTAGCTTTGCCTGTTTCGCCCAGGTATGGTTGCAAAAAAACTCAGATAACCTCCAGGTGGCCTTAAAAAGATCCAGAGAAATAATTCCCTCTGGTCTTGGAGGCCATCTCTGGTGGTCCTTCTTCCATCCCTTACCTTCACCAGGTATAGCTGACAAAACGATGTAGATCCTTGGTTAACCAGGAACAAGTTGAACCACGGCAACCGAATTTCTTTCCCTTTTGGTTGGAAAGCAAATTCCACCTTATTTGAGTACCTTTCATGCCTAAAGCAGGACTAGAACTCACTGGTCTCCTGGTGAGGGGCCCAAAGTCACCCAGATGGCTTTCATGCTTGAAGACGGCACTAGAACTCAATCTCTCTCTGGGTGATTGGCCCCAAGTCACCCAGCCTGATTTCATGCCTAAGGCAGGACTAGAACTCACCGGTCTCCTGGTGACTGGCCTGAAGTCACCCAGCTGGCTTTCATGCCTAAGGCGGGACTAGAACTCACCGTCTCCTGGTCACTGAGCCAAAGTCTCCCAGCTGGCTTTGTGCCTAAAAGGCAGGACTAGAACTCACCGTCGCCTGGTTTTTGGCCTGGCGCCTTCAGCACTATACCAAACTGGCTCTCTTTGTATGACTTAGGAGCTATGTGCCATATGGAAAATTGAAATAATAAAACAAAACAAGAAATAAATTAAATAAAAATAAAACGATTTATAAGGAGGGGGTGGAATCCCCAGGTATGTGGACTTGCTAAGTTTGAATCAGAGCCTGGTTGTTTCATCCATTCAGACCTGATGGACCAAGAAGACAGGGATGGACCACTAAACTTCATTGGGGCATCGGTTAACTAGACCAGTGTTTTTCAACCTTGGCAACTTGAAGATGTCCGGACTTCAACTCCCAGAATTCCCCAGCCAGCATTCGCTGGCTGGGGAATTCTGGNAAGCGGTTTACAGAGTCAGCATATTGCCCCCAACAACAATCCGGGTCCTCATTTTACCCACCTCGGAAGGATGGAAGGCTGAGCCAACCCTGAGCTTCGGTGAGATTAGAACCGCTGAACTGCAGATCACAGTCAGCTGAATAGGAATCTGGAGCTGGAAAATGTCAGTTTTGCTCTAGTGGTTAAGGCATCAAGTTAGGGGGAAAAAGGAGATGGTGAGTTCTAGTCCCACCTTAGGCACGAAAGGCATCTTGATGACTTTGGCCAAATCACCAGGAGACTGTGAGTTCTAGTCCCGCATTAGCCATGAAAGCCAGCTGGGGGGACTTTGGGTCTATCGCCAGGAGACGGTGAGTTTCTATTTTTTCCTTTAGGGCACAAAAGCCAATTAGAGCGAATCAGGAGAGTCAAGGAGAGAAGCAAACTGGAATTAAGGAGAAACTTCCTAAGAGTGAGGACAATTAACCAGCGGAACAGCTTGCCA